CCCTCGCGTGGAGCTGGCGGCCGAGCCCTGGAGGTTGCCTCCTCGGCCAGCAAGTGGCCGGGCTCTTCCACTCTCTGCCGTTCACCAGGGATCGGTCTCGCCCTGGCGTCCCTCGCAGATGCCCTCCCGCTTCTGAGACCACACTGGACAGAGAGCCCAGAGAACAGATTCTTGCCCCAAGTCAGCCACTGACTGTAGGTCATGCCCCTTGCGCTCAGCATCATGCTGCTACTTGATTAAAAATAGAGACCCTGCCATTTGTGACAGTGTAGATGGACCTAGAGGGCGCGATGCTAAATGAAGTAAGCCAGAGCTGGAAAAACACCGTATGATTTCACTTCCATGTGGAAACTAAACACACACAGACACGAGCAAACAAGAAAACAGACACAGACTCGTAGATACAGAGAACAAACTGGTGGTTTCCGAGGGGAGGCGAGCGGGTGACAGGCAAAAAAATAAGTCACAGGGATGAAACGTACAGCATGGGGACTGTAGTTACTAATACCATAGTGCGCTTACTATCAGCAACATTCAGGTGGCGCATAAGCATTGAATCACTGTGTTGTACACCCGGAACTAATATGTGCCAATTATACTTTGAAATGAAAAAAAAAAATTAAAATACGTAGAAACCAACAATGGACAGGAGAGGCATCCTGGTGAAAAGGTGTGTGAAGGACGATTTCTGTGCTGGCGTGAGTCCCCCGTGAAGACCGTATGGCTACGTGCCGAGCCCCTGCAGCTGCCCCAACGGAAGGTGCGCCCCCACACCCTGTGGGTCCTGGGCCCACCTGTTCTCCTTTCCTTCTCTTTGTCATTACTGAAGATAGTGTTTTCTGGTTTTGCTGTGATTTGCCAGAGGGTCAGCTGTGTTTGGGATTATTTTTTGGACGCTTGTTTGTGGGGGATTGCACCAATACTCTCCCATCCGTGTTGCTTCACCCCCAAGAAGAGGTTTCACAGGGCCATGAGCTTATACCCAACTGAGAAGGGCTGTGCCCGGGAAGTTGTCCTTGGCAGGGCGGTGGGGATGCCATGGCTTCCGTGTCTGCTGAGGGTTTTGTTGCTTCCTGGTTATGAGGAGCGCTTGCTAACTGAGAAGAGGGATGTACATCGTCCAGGGCGTGAGGCTGATCCTTCCCTGGGCTGATGGAGGCTGCTACCAGGCCTGGGTGAGAAGGTGTGAACCCTCTCAGCCCTCCCTCCGGGTCAGGTACTGCCGACCGCATCTCTGGTTGGGTTGGAGTGGGCATCCAGCTCTGAACCCAGGGCTCTGTCCTCTGCCTGCTCCCACCTCCCTGGTCGTTGTCATTGCCGGGAGCACTGTTGTCCCCAGTCCGCGTGGCTTTCTGACAGAAGCAACAGCCTCAAACCATGAGGGCTGAAGCCAGTGAGAAGGCTGGACTCAGAGCCAGGACCCCTCCTGGGGCTCTCAGGCAGCCCTCCCCGCACCGCCCCCCCCCCCCCCCCCCCCCCCCCCCCCCGCCCACTGCCGCCTGGTGCTGTCCCTGGTGCTGCACGTAATACAGCAGCTTCCCACAGCGGGAGAGGTCACTCATCAAGACTGGGCTCTAGGAAAACAGGCCGTCGCACACTGCCCTCTCCTTCCTGGAGGTGAGGATAGAGGCGGAGGTGGTGATGTCTGGGGGCTGTGCTCTGAGACCACGTAGCGATGTCCAGGCCAGCCATGCTGCCCGTGGTTTGGGGAAATAATCCTTGGCCTCCGGCCTTGGCATTCTGGCTCCAGGGCTTGGAGCTGGGTGACCCTGGTGCGGTACTCGGTTTCTTGGTACCTCAGCATTAGCACCTGTGGGACAGGAGGGGTGCCGCCTTCGGGATGCTCACAGCTCTGTCACAGGTGGTGGGGCAGTGGCGGTTCACGTGGCAGCAGGCTTCACGGTCACTAGGTCTGTGTCCCATTCCGGCTCTGCACACGGCGTGAACAAACCATCATTTCCTTTGAGGTGCTCTGCCTGAGCAAGAGGGAGCCAAATGGAGCGAAACACAAAACCGTGGTGCTGAGTCTGAGCGACAGGCTCTGTGGTGTGTGTGGGGCTGCAGCCCGTGCCCAGCGCCTCATCAGAGCTGTGAGAAAGCAAACTGCGCCCGCCCTTACTCTTGCTGGCATAAATCAGACGAAGGTACGTGCAGGATACTTAGCACAGGGCTTGGCACGCAGTGTCTGTTACGTTTCCTTTTCTTCCCCCTTCCGTGTTGTGGGCCCCGTGGCTATGATTTCATCAAGGCTGGGGGCGGGGTGGGGGTGGGGTGGGGCGGAATGTAGTGTGATGCTTACTTCATCGAGATTGTTCAGAAAAGCCCTTCAAGTGATCACATAAATACAATCCCGGTGGCCACAGCATCTGGGGTGTCTCTGGCCCCGGGGATCTGGCATTCTAGGTGCGCTGTCTCCTTCTGTGTTCAACAGGAAGAGCCTGGTATCCAGAATGTTTCCAAACCCCTTTCAAAGGTGAAAGTTATTAGTTCCTTTTGGGTTATCAGGTGATGAACTGAAATTGGCGTTTTTAGTGAAACTTAGGAATATTCTGACCTTTAGCTTAAGGAGAGCCCTTGTTTGGTTCATTCTTCCTTCGAGGTGGGGGCTGGAAAGAGCCTATACCGAGTGAGACATTAGAGGCACTCCTGCTGGACATGTAGACACCTCGCAAGGGAAGAAATGTATGTACAAAAAATGGCTAATAAGCTTCTCAAAAAGCATTCTCTTTCAGGAACGATTCAGACCTGCAAATTAAAATATCAGTGAGGTAGCATTTCGCCCCTTCCTAGCAAAGGTGGAAAATCGATCATGGCCAGTATTGGCAGGGGCGCAGGGAGAGGGGCGCCAGCCTCGCTGCCTGGGGCGCGTGCCCCAGTGAACACCTTTCTGAGAAGGAACGGGGCGCCCACCTGCCAGCCTTGACCTTTTCCACCCTCTCGATTCTGTCTCTGCTTCTAGATGTGGACCTCAACCCGCAGCATAAATGCAGACAGGAAATTGAAGCACAAAGATGTTTAGGGTTTTTTTCAATAGTAACTTTTTGAAAAATGGAAAGTATGAGTCTGAAAATAGCGGAATTGTTAAGTAAGCGATGACAGGGTTGGGTGACAAGACGTTCTGCAGACTAATTTTTAACGATGTGAACGTGTTCACAGTATCTTGAAAGAGTAAAACAAGATATAAAATGCATGTATATATGTGTGTGTTTGTATAAAATGAGACGTGTGATAACATACACCTATAGTACAAATACTTAGAGAAAAGACTCTAGAATTAAAGTATTACAACTAGGGTTTAAGGATGAGTCCTTGTTTCTTTATTGTGCTTTTTGCTGTTTTCCTGCTTTTTCTGGGCTTGAAAAGAGTTTTACGGGCTGAAAAGAGAGTCAGTGTGACTCTGGAACGAAGTTCTTGCTATGGGATGCCGTGTTCTCTGTGTGCAGAGGAGTCTCTCATTCTTTGGGAGTCTCCAAGCCTCAGACATCTCCTGGCCAAAGGCCATCCATTTGCTGACACCCCAGTAGTTTTCGCTAAGCTGTTAAGGTTCTTGGGGTTGAATCTTAGGTGTGTACACCCCGAACAGAGTAGCAACTCCTGTCTCTTGGTTGTCCCACGGAATAGCCCCGAGGGCCGCTTAGATCATACTGGGTTTGGCTGAATGTTTGGGCCACACCAGAGTCTGGGATAACACACTCACTTTTATCCTTTGAGTGACTCTGTCAACTTTCGGTTGAGCCAGAACGTCGGGGGCCTCACATAAAGAAAACCCCTTCCTCCCCTTCTCCTTCCGTCTATCCACGTAATGCCTTTACTGAGCACCTCCTGTATGCCTGATTCTGTGCTAAGAGGCAGGGTTGCAAGCATCAGTGAGACACAGCCTCTGCCGGCATGAAGGTCACGGTCGGGAGCTGAGGCAGGCTGCAAGCAGCCGATTAGAGCGCCCACACCTGTGTGCCATGTGGCGTCTACATGTCAGGTGCTGTAGGGTCTGGGGGTGTAGCAGAAGGGCACAGGTGCAGAGGTCAGGCAGGAGGTGAACGCCGGCCCAGGCTGTCTGGGAACGTGCTTAGTTCACGTGTTCGTTTATGCGGGGAATTGTTGGCCGAGTTGCTGTGGCGTGCCAGGCATTATCCAGGCCTGGGAGACTGTGGGAGCAAGACCACACAGACCTCCGTCCTCAGGGAGCTAAATTCCAGTAGAGCTGTTGGACAGCAAGGCCCACACGTTCGTGTCTACAGTGCGTGGGAAAGGCTATGGCAGAATGGATGCTGCCATGGAGGGGAGGCCGGGGGGGAGAAAGGAGGAGGATGCTGTGGGGGAGGTGCCCAGAACACCTTCCTTAAGCTCAGACCTCGAGAGTGTGGGGCTCCAGCCCCACAGCTTAGCACTAAGGCTAAGGCAGAAAGAGCCTGGTGTGTTCTAGAAACTTCCAGAAGGTGGAGAGGGCTGGACACAGCAGGCAGGGAGGCTTTGTGGAGGATGTGACCGTTGAGCAGAAACCCGAAGGGGTGGGTGTCACAAGACAAGGTCCTGGGTGCAGGGGCCAGACGGGGATGGGCGGGGTGTAGCTGGTCAGGCCTGGTGTGTGTGAGCAAGTCCTGTGGCTGAAGGTGAAATGGGAGTTGATGGGCAGGGCTCTGATGAGGAGGCTTTTGGGGCCCCCAGGGCTAAATAATTGCTAGTCCTCTCTGATTTTCCACATGGGGTCCCGTCTGCTTTGTCCTGTTCCAGAAATTACATTTCCTTCGGGGTATGTGAGTCTTCTCTGAGGTTGGGCTCTCTGACTGTGTCTTCAGCTCTAAACTGTGTGTTGAACCAGCTCTGAAGCCACTGCTACCCTGGGAGTCTATTATTTCATTTTCTTGGAATGAATCCATTATGAATTACTAACGATAATGATTCATTATACCATCTCACGCTGGCATGTGCTGATTCTCCAACAGCCAGCAGAAGATAATGCCCTGCTGATTAATCCTCTGCTTTTTCCCCCCTTCTCTTAGAATGGCCATTCAAGTGGACAAGTTCAGCTTTGAGAGTTTCCCAGAATCCCCTGGGGAGAAGGGACAGCTTGCAAATCCAAAGCAGCTGGAGGAGGAGAGGCAGGAGGCCCGCGGCTTGGAGATCGACAGCAAGCTGGACGTCCACTGGAGAATCATATCCTTTTCACGGTGGCCGCCCTGGCACTGGGCACACCCTGCTTGGGGGCTCTGCCCTCTGGGAAGGACCCCCGAGGGGCTTCACCGTGGAGCTGTAGACAAAGGGTTGTGTCAAGGAGACACGGACCAAGATTGTCCTTTCTTAGCCTCTTCCCACTCCCAGGGCCCCACCAACGGGGTATCAGATCAGGGTGAGGAAAGGCCACTTCCCTGGAACGTCTCAAATCACATGTTTCTTGCCAGTGTTGATGTTTGTGTTAGTGACACGTTCTCATGCCTACCTGTCAATGCTGGGCTCCAGGCTTCACAGACTGTCCACTCCTCCCGGTCAGTTGTCCGGGAGACTGAAATCGCATTGCACGGCTTACAAGGCATGAGAACCCTGAGGGGTTTCACAGGGGCAGTGCTGCACGAGAGCGCCTAGGGCAGTCCCCGGCCCTGCTGCAAACTTGGGACATGCCTGGCTCACAGCAGGTGCTCCATTCCACGAGCGAGCACGTGAGAGGATCCCAGGCGCACTTGTGTGAGTGTTCGACCGTCTTCCAGAGCACCTGCTTTGGGCTGGGTATTCGGCGAGACGCTTAGTCTGAGACGGCAAGAGAGGCCTCAGTGTTTCTTCATGGCCCTGCGGGGTGTGGCTTGCCAACTGGGGACGACATGCACTTGAGGCACAGGGCAGGGCATCACACCACGTCTGTGAGGTTCAGGGGTGGAAGCTGTGGGCATGGGGCCCTTGGAGAAGGCTTGACACAAGGGGAGATGTTAGCGTGGCTTTTGTAGGGTGAGTAGAAGTTTCTTCGAAGGATGAGGGTAGGGGATGGCCCAGCAGTCCCAGATCATTCTAGACCATCTCCCTGGATTCTGGAAAGATCCTCAGTCTGCAGGTGGCCATCTCCAAGAGTTGAGGCACATTGCTTTGTGCCCACTACAGAGGGTCTGGAGCTGGTAGACCCTGTCCCCAAGGAGCTGGGACAAAATAAACCCTTCACATGTAAACCGGAGGCTTCGGGAATAAGACATTAAACCCAAGTCCCTGGGGACTCAGAATCTCAGTGGCACATCACAGAGTTAAGGTGTTTGCCTTTGTACCGAAGGAGGTGAAAAGGAGGGATGATTGGAGTCCTCCCTGTCTCGAGCCCACCCAGAGCTCAGCATAGGGTCGGGGCCCAGCCAGTGCCTGCTGGTGACAGAGCCCACAAGGCAGCGGCATTCACCCTGCACACCAGGCCGTCTCCTTTATCCCTCCCGTCTCTGACGCGTGCTCTCGCACCCCTGGGGAGAGGTTGGCTGGGTCGCCTGAGTCCATCCAGGACGTGGTGAAGCCGGCTGCCCGGTGGGGTTGCCTGTCCTCAGGGAAGATCGAGGAAACAACCCCGCCCCCCGCCCCCGTCCTGTTGGGGGACAGCAGAAGGCACAGAGCTCTCCTGTCCGGGTATCTGTGGTTGTGATGCTGATGCTGGGGTGGGGGGTTTGGGGTGGAGAGGCTCTGTAACCTCTAGATGTGCACGTCCCCATGTGAGGCAGGACATGCCCTGCTCCCAGGCCTCTGGGCTTCATGCGGGGAGCTTCTCTCAGACCAGGAGTCCTGGCTGCGAACGAGTCCGCCTCTGGCCCATGGAGGGAAGGGCGGTGTGTGTGGGGGGCCTGGCAGGAAGGCATCTGTCTCCCGAGTGTCTCGTTCTGGGTGAAGATAGAAGCACGAAGCCTCAGAATGGAGAGGGGGGGTGGTTTGCACCCCTGCTGTTAGGGCTACGGTAGCACCTGCTGATGACGCACCTGCCACTTCCCAGGTGCACCCCTGGGCTGGCCCAGGTCGTTCTCCATGGTTTCAAGTCCCAGGGGGGCTCCGCCGCCCTGTCTTAGAGATGACAACCTCTCCAGCTCACACACAGGAAGAAGGGGAGTGGGCGCTTACCAGAAGCCCATCAGTCGCCCTGCAAGCCAGCGGCCCTTGGCCAGGATGCAGTGCCTTCTAGAGGGATAATGCTGACCATCAAAATGCTTATATTTTGATAACACCGACCAGAAACATGCTGAAAATGTCTTTGGTTTCTCTCCTTTTAGTTTTGCCTCCTTTAAGAGGTTGATATCCCCATTTTCTGTATTTGCTTAATAATTCATGCAACAAATATTTATTGAATGTCTACCATGTGCCAGGTACATCTGTCTCCTAGATGTACTGACTGGGAGTTTTTGAGAGACCGTCCCTACAGGCGGATTCCATTAAAGAGAATGAACAATAGGACACCTCTCTCTCTCTCTCTCTCTCTCTCTCTCTCTCTCTCTCTCTCTCTCTCTCTCTCTCTCTCTCTCTCTCTCTCTCTCTCTCTCTCTCTCTCCTCCCTCTCCTCCCTCTCCCTCCCCCTCTCCCTCCCCCTCCCTCCCTCCCTCTCATATCTGGTAATGACATCTGGCATGGGATGAATAGCACAATTCTGCTGTTGTCAACCTGGATTCAAGCAGATGGAAAGACCAAAGATTGAATTGGCTAATACTCTTATTATGCATTTTAGTGATATTTTCTCAATATTTAGACTTTATGCCACGATTTGAGCCTAATTTGACACTCCTCTAAGGAGTAATAACAGTGGCCCACATGTAGCATGTAGGGCTAGCTCGACCTGTTTCCGTGGAGATGGTGGACCTCTGGACCCGTCAGCATCGCATCTGTAATGACCAGATAAGCAGTTGGGCACACCAGGGATTCCAGCCCCAGCGTTTACCTGCTTAGCGAGCTGTACATTTTGCTGCGCTCACGTGCTGGGGCCCTAGAGATGCCCCAGTCTAAGGGGCTGAGCAGACCCAGAGATGGGCTCTTACAGTGCAGCCTGGAAGGACTGAGACAGGAGCCTTCCTGTGTGAGGGCTGGCACATTCCAGAGTCCGAAAGCAGCAGGGACCTATGTCATTCCCTGTGACCAGTAATACAGCAGGCAGACCAGAGAGGTGGCAGGGTCTAGAGGCCTCCTGCGCTGTGCCTGGAGTTGGGCCTTCCTCCCCGCCTCCCCCTCCCTGCCATACTCAAAAATCTGTTAGGAAGTTCTTTCTCCTGCATGACCCATTCCTCATCACCAACCTTTGCTGGTAATTGTTTTCATTCTTTTTTTTTTTTTTT